GATATGCGACAGACTTTATCTTTGTTAGCAATAATTAAAGATCTGTACTGATACAGGAACTGTTACTCTAAGCAGATGGTCATGTGAACACATCTGTCTGTTTTAGAGACACGTGTCACGAGCTGCTTGGACACGTCCCTCTTTTCGCCGAGCCCAGCTTTGCTCAGTTCAGTCAGGAGATTGGTCTCGCGTCACTGGGAGCGTCGGATGACTCTGTACAGAAACTCGCCACTGTAAGTAATGACAGGCTTTGAGATTTGACCTTTTGGTTAGAGGTGTTTTAATGTGAATGTACTACAAAATTGGCTCAAAAATCTGAGGGGGCACGTGCTTTGAATGGGCATGACGCCTCAGCTACAAATACATATTTATTAACAATTCCATATTATGTTTCAGTGTTATTTCTTCACTGTGGAGTTTGGCCTCTGTAAGCAGGAAGGGAAACTGAGAGCTTATGGGGCCGGTCTGCTGTCCTCCATCAGTGAACTGAAGGTAATGAACCACAAAAGCTTTCTCTGCATGATGCACAATGCATGTTTTTCACCTTATAAATAGAGATTGTCTATTTCCTTTTCTTCCAGCATGCACTGTCAGGAAATGCCAGGATCTTGCCCTTTGACCCCAATGTGACATGCAAACAGGAGTGTATCATCACCACCTTTCAGGACGTCTACTTTGTTTCGGACACCTTTGAGGAAGCAAAAGTCAAAATGAGGTGCGTGGGCAATAGAAAACAAAACTGAATTTTTACAGTGAATTAAATGCGAATAAAACTGACAATAAAAAATGCTAAAAGTATTTACTGCATATATATTATCTGAGTATTTTGCATTTAAATCTGAATTTAATTTTTAGAGAGTTTGCAAAGACCATCAAGAGGCCATTCTCAGTGCGCTACAACCCGTACACACAGAGCGTAGACGTTCTGAAGGACACAATCAGCATCAACAACGTGGTAGAAGAACTAAGACATGAGTTGGACATCATTGGAGATGCACTAAGCAGGCTAAACAAACAATTAGGAGTCTGAAAAGCTAAAAAATGTCACAGCAAATCATCAATGTACTTCATCTGCCAGTGCACTTGTTTTGTCACAGTACTTCACTCTCCAAATCATGTGTGGCATCAATACCATATGTTATGCTGTATGTACTCA